TTGAGGTTTTTCTATTTTCACAGACCTCTTCACTGAAACCCCCAAACTTCTTTCCCAAAAGGAATTATGTACTTAGAGCCTATTGTTCTGTCTGTTACACTGGCATCGTTTTTCTCCATCTGTGTTTTCTTCTTCATACATCATCGCCGAATTTCACCTGTCATTTTACTACTCAGGTACTCAGTATTGTGAAATCTATTTACAGATCTTCATAGCTGGCTTTTCTTTTCATCATTCTGAATACCTTACTGCCATCAGCAGTCCCCTATCTTTCCTTCCTTCTCTCCAAATTGTTAATTAATGAATTCCTTGTACTGGTGGATGAAAAGCTGGACATGAGCTGGCAATGTGCACCCGCAGCCCACAAGGCCAACAGTATCCTGGGCTGCATCAAAAGCAGCGTGGCCAGCAGATCAAGGGAGGGGATTCTGCCCCTCCTCCGCTCTGGTAAGACCCCACCTGCAGTGCTGCATCCAGTTCTGGAGCCCTCAGAAAAGCCCTCCAATAGGAAAGATATGGACCTGTTGGAGAGGGTCCAGAGAAGGCCACCAAAATGATCAAAGGGATGGAACATCTCTCCTGTGAGGACAGGCTGTGAGAGTGTTGGGGTGGTTCACCCTGGAGAAGAGAAGTCTCCAGGGAGATCTTCTTGCAGCCTTCCAGTACTTAAAGGGGGCCTGTAAGAAAGATGGGGTCAGACTTTTTAACAGGGCCTGTAGCAATAGGACAAGGGGTAATGGTTTTAAACTAAAAAAGGGTAAATTTAGACTAGATATGAGGAAGAAATTTTTCACGAGGGTGCTGAAACCCTGGCACAGGTTGCCCAGAGAGGTGGTAGATGCCCCATCCCTGGAAACATTCAAAGTCGGATTGGACGAGGCTCTGAGCAACCTGATCTAGTTGAAGATGTCCCTGCTCACTGCAGGGGAGGTTGGACTAGATGATCTTTAAAGGTCCCTTCCAACACTAAGATTCTATGATTCTTTGAAATTGGACAGCACAAAGCATCGGGGAAATTAAAAATGAACACTTCTCTCCATTAGGGAAACAGAAAGATTTTTCCCTAACCTTTGATACTGACCTAACTATAAATTAATCTGTGGAAAGGCCTTTTACCCCATGACAATTTCAGATCCTTTGTCAAGGGAACTCCTCAAAAATCCTATCAGACTTCATCAGCTACCTTGTCTTACCCTACAGGTTCTAAGAATCTGAATAGATTTAAGGTGTGATTTTCATGTGCAAAAGTCATGTTGATTCCTCAATGACGTCCAGAATATACTTGTCCAGAAACCAGTATTAGCTGGGAAAGCAGTAATATGTTGTATTAGACACTGTAGAAAAAGAGCAAGAAGATTGCTCCTTTGAGGAGCTCACATTTAAGGAAATCCAATATGCTTTCTGCAGTGAAGTTGGAAATTATAAAAATAGTTTCTTTCTAATTGTTTATGTTAGATATTCTTAGATATTAAAGATATTACATTTAAGTCTAAACTTAGATTCACTTTGTTATTGTTGCTGGTTTTATTTTTCCATGCTTTCCCTGTTCAACATGTCTGTGTCCACTTTTGTTTTCTGTGTAAGCAACTGCATCAAGTCAAATGGATAATAGACTACTTCAAAGCAGAAATTGGCTTCATTTATTTCAAAGAAAATTCTTAACAGTATTTACTCTGTATTTCATATGCTACAACAACAAAAAGATTAAAATTAATTGTATTTTCCCTCTTTTCTCATTTATGTTCCAGGAAACTTAGGCTATAAAACTAAGCTAATGTGGCTGCAACTGCATTAGCATGTAGTGCAGCTCAGTGGAAGTGAGTTAGTAGAATGAAATGGTTGATGTTGAGATGACATCTATCTGCAATACTGGCATTTGGAGGCAGAGGGTCTGACTTTAGTGCTAACCTGATACTCTGAGCTAAATGTCGAGTAGCAGTTGGAGCACATTAGATGCACTCCTGAAATGTATATTCTGGTTTAGTTTCCTTGAAAGGGAATGCAGTTCCTTCACTCTGAGGTCACTGTGCTATGAGCCAAAACATAGTATGTAAGGATTTACTATAGAGATTTCCTCCCAGAATTTGGGGGATTAATTTCAGAAGCACACTCTTGGTCTGATCTGAAACGTTCATGTAGATACATGCAGTGTTTCCCTCTCATTTTGACAGATTTTTCATACAAGGATCAATTTCTGCTTCTTATCCAATAAATGCTATTTTTTGGGCGTGTAGCTCTGATTATTTACATGTAGGTATGTTGTAATTAAGTTTGCTTTTCTTACCTTGGAAGAAACGTGGTGCTCTGACTGTGGTGTGAGTAGTGACTACTTAGTCAACTCTAGCTTTTGTTTTATGGCACCTGTGCAAAGTGATTAGCAATGCGGGGTACAACAGTGGAGCAGAAAACGCGGTCCCAGCACTGAAAGTTGGTCTCATAGTTAACAACCTGACTAGTGGCTAGAGAATCATCTGTCAGCTCCCTCTCCTGTCTCTGACTCTTTCTATGCCCTTGCGTAAATCTGCAGCAGTTCTGCACAGCTCTGCCACATCTAAGACACTATTGCTATTGGCATATGTAGCAAAAACAATGCGTTCTGAAACACTTCATATGTACAGAATGGCTGGTTATCACAATGCCACAGCTAAGGCTTCTGGAGACCGTAGATACCTGAAATCACAGTAGTAATAGCCCAGGGTGGTAGTTAGCAGATTAAAGCAAGAGTGAGCAGTGCTGCACTGTTTAGGCACTTAACTTCTATTGATTGAATGAGGAATTAGGTGCTTCAGTGCCTCAACAGTTTGTCCCTCAATTCCCTTTCTAAGAAATGGAGATAAAAGCACTTTCACACTTCAGAGGAGTGGCCTGACAGAAAATGTGTTAAGGTGGTGATGCGCTTGGATGTGACAGTGATGAGGTCGAATGAGTTCCTTGTGCAGGTAGAAGGAAATATGTGAGACTAGAGTGGATCTTGATTAACAACTTGCCTTAGAGGCACAATCCAAAGTCAATGACAAGACTCTTATTAACTTCAGGGAGCTTGGATCGAGCCCATTGATTTGTGCTTATTTCTGCTCTAGTTGCTATAGTCCAAATTAATGCTGTGCTGTGATATTTTCAAATACCAACATAAACAAAATCCACTCAAGAGGGAAGTCATAAAAATAAGAAAATCATAATGCCTGAATCATAGTACTGAATTGATAAATGTTAACCATAGGAACATTGCCCCAGAAATTAGTCTGGTGAGAAAAAAGAACCAACTGATAAACATCACAATTAATTTTGGGCTTCAGAAGCTGGATAGGCTACATAGTGACAGCAGATGATCTCTATATTGACATTTTGATCATTGATGTTTTCTGTTTAGCTTCTATCATGCAATCTTCAGTTTAGAAGTCACATCAATGGTATGCTTGATGTATTTGAAAGTCTTAAATGAAAATAATAAAGTTTAATTCTAATAATGTTTTTATCACAAGATTTCAAAAGTAAATCAGATACAAAAGGAGACTGTACCTTTATGCTACAATGGAAACATTACCCTATTTTACATAAGAGTTACAGTGTGATAATGTAACTGGTCTAAGATCACTTAGGATATTAATGTTCAGGGATTTTGAAGAACCCCAACCTTCCAAGTCACAGGCCAAATTATTATGCTACCAAGGGGTTTTCTAGAGATAGAAAAAAACCTCTGGTAGTTACCCAATAATGAAGGACATTTCATGTGTAGATTATATGTGTATTTACACCTTCACATACAAATAGTTCTTTAGCATCTGGTGTCTATAAAGATTTATGGCACCCTATAATTTATAGGTAGTGAGTTAAGTTAGATATAACTCTGCCTGCCTGAATGAAAGAAAGAGAAGGAAACGGAGTGTGTGATTTTTGCAGTGCCCAAACCCAGATAGGAATTTGCTCTGGGAAATGGCAGCTGTGGATCCTTTCATTTCAGGCTTGTCTAAGAACAAATCAGTGTTTGCCATTTGCAAAGCAACAACAGCATGAGTACTTAAAAAAAAAAATAAAAATGCTAATGATTCAAGTCTTTAATACCTTCCCAGGCAAATATTCTTCAGAACTTTTCATGTTTGTCATTTATGGTGCCTCATTCCCATTCCTGAGGGATATTAATATGTTGCTTGCTGAAATACTGGAATGATCTCTTTCTACTGCTCAAACCTATATAGTCTTTCATGCAGAGACACATGAGAGGAGTTTCTCATTATTCTCTGATTCATCAGTAATGCAGACCAATTAATACCACAGTTAATGGGGAGAAGTAGCTACTACAACTGCAAGCCGTATATCTCCTGTCACTCCTGAACTAACACTCTTGGACAAAGCTAGAAAACAACTTTGCTATGTGAAGATTATTTTTGAAACTCTACTGAATCTATAATTCACAGCACCATAGAAACTGGAAATGGAAAGAATCCAGCACATTATCAAATATGTTGTCCTGCCAAAGCAAGATTGCTTCTTGCAGACAGCCGGGTTATAATGTTTCAGGCAATGAAACTGTCATCTTCTCTGAAAATTCTGCCATAGCCTAACAAAGCTCACCATTAGAGATCATTCTCTGTGTGTGTGTCTCTTTTTCTTAACACCTAACTTTTTGTCTGCCACTCCAATAGATCATTCATGAAGACCCTAGCAGCCCACTGTGGCTGACTGGTAACTTCGTAATTTTGCACTCTGGTGTTACAAATTTCAGGTTTGATTTTTCTTATAATCTAAGCATAGCTTCATTTAGATCTGTTTCAACTAGTAGTAAAGTCATTCTGCCTATTTGATCATATGTTATGTTTATACACAGAGCTGAAATATCCTGTTTTCCTTATTGAAAGATTGGCTATGCTTAGTTTTGTTATTACATTGAAACATTTTGAAATGGACATATTTAATGAACTTGCCTTAAGTTCTGAGCTGTTATTTATTTTTCCATCTGACTCCTCTTCACCACTGTATTTTCATCTTTCCCTTCCATATAGATTATGCTGCTGACTGATCCAGAAATTGAAAGCAGCTTATTAATCAGTTCTGATGAAGGGGCAACCTATCAAAAATACCGTCTGAACTTCTACATCCACAGTCTGCTCTTCCACCCCAAGCAGGAAGATTGGATCTTAGCATACAGCCAAGATCAGAAGGTAAGAAACCTTGGCAGCATTTTGCTTTATTTGCTTAGGAACAACCTAGGACTTCTCCCATCTCTCTAGTAGCTGCTGCAGAGCATTCAGGACAGTCTTTGGGGTAATACCAGGACAGTCTTTGGAAATACCAAACTGGTATTCAAACTGGAAAATTGAAAATACTAAACTGGATTTCACATCCTGACATTTTGATGTTTTTGAATAAAACTGGAAAATAGACCAAAACAAATAGGAAACTGGTATTTCCAAGCAAGAAACATTGAGTAAGCTTCAATGTAAAGGGCAAGGTAAAGGACATGGGCACCTACTGTTTTCTTGGAGGCTAACCCTCTGACTGACCTGGAAGTCTATATTTATTCATCAGTGCTTTTGGCAATATTGTGTGACAGGCAATGGGCAGAGAAGACAGCTAGGATCCTTCACAATAGGAATAACAACCTCTAATGCATCTTTTTGTCCTCTTATTTAATAGTTCTCTTGCTCCATCCTAGCACCAGCTCCAAGAACAGTGTAAGACACTCCTTGTTTCCATCTGGTTAGTATATTTTCAAGTAGCCTTTGATTTTCTAAAAGAAAAGAATTGATTTCCTCTGAAGTCCAGTTCCTTCAGTATGGGTAATCCATTAGCTGCATATATATGCCATGAGATTTGCCTTGATTTTTTTGCTGCCCAACTTGATACAACAGGATGGGGCTTGATTGTAAGAGACCTCATTGTTATAACTTTTTAAAAATCAGACACATCAATACTCACAAGTCAGTCGTCTTCCAGTGAATGGACGTTATAGAACTCAGTCTGTTTAGTTTACCAAAAGGCAGATTGAAGGGAAACTATATTGTTGTGCATAAATATCTCCATGGAGGAAAACAAAACATATGAGTAAGCTTTTTGATCTAGCAAAAAACTTCTAACAGGAATTGATGGCTAGGAGTCAATTGGCAAATAAATTCAGCTGTGAAGTAACTAGCCGTTGGAGCAAACTGCTCTGAGAAATGTCACATCCCGACATTTTGATGTTTTTGAATAAACCAGACCAAAACAATGTGCTGAGCTTCCAACAGGGGTAAAAGAGTGAAATATCTCGGCATCTAATATATAATCCTTTATGCAAATTAATTTAGTGGTCTCTTTTTAAGTATGATGAATCTCTGGGAACCTGAATCTAATCAGTGATCAAAGTATTGGCCGAATTGTTCAGATTATATATTAATATAAACATCAACATAAAAGTTTGAATTTTATGATGTTTTCCACCTGTGTATTTGAATTCATTTTACAAACATTAAACAACTAATTTGCCTTTAGCCTAAATTAGGCTTGTTGTTACTATTACTGTAAGTCTGAGAGAATAAAGGCATAAGGAAGCTAAATAAGTAGCTAAAGTCACAAAATAATCTTCTGGGAATTTTTGGAATAGAAATTCAGTCCTGTGCTTTTAAGTCAAAACCAGTATCCTTCCAGGCTAATAGCTTAATATCCTTTCCAACAATGGGAAATGCATCTTGCCTGCCTAATTCTTCCTGTAGAGTCAATTGCATGCAATATTTTTCACTCACCCCTCTCACAGCATTTTGTAGAGTGTACTATGGTTATAATATGTTCCAGAGGAAGGTGTATATTAAATTATTTCCGGGTGTTCAGTATGTAATTAGACAAGGTCAAAATATTTCCTTTCCCTTGTGGCTGTTGAATTCGCTGGACTGATATGTAACTGAGCAGAATCTGGTCTCTGCTGACTTTTAAGACCCTCTGGAATGAAAGTTAATGTGTGTTGTTAACAGGAAATTTATTACATGAGGATTAATGAAACTTTCAGTGGTAACTTTGTCAAAATTAGGATATAGTAGAAAATGAATTTCAGCTGTTGTGGTAGTCAGCCTGCTCAGGAAATAATCCTGAATTAGAGTCCATATAGCTAATGCTCATCTAATTGATGGTAGATGGCTACCAGCAAGTATGTTGTCACTATTCCATAGGAAACTCCTACTCTTCTTCTATGGAATTCTAAGGGCCCTTTTGTGCGTTAACCTGAATTTATGGGGTTGTTGTTGGAGTTGTGTGTATGGGGTGTTTTGGGTGAGATTTACTGTACAGTAAAATTTCCTTGTGTTATGGCATTAATTAGGAAATTGGATAACTGTTACTAATTCAATACTGAAAAGAAAGATGAAAAAAAAAAGTTGCAAGAAAAAAATCATGTAGCACAAGGTCTGTAGATCTGTAACAATTAACTCTAAAATAAAATGTTAAAAGTATTCTGTCTGTGTATGAGTTACAGACTTGGTTTCTACTTGAAAGCCTAATGGATACATTTTCTGACTTCAGCAAGCCTTGATCAAGAACTGTAGAGGGTAACCAACAGGCAAAGAGTTAATCAGCTTGGACTAAATGAAATGTAACTCAAACTAAGGGTCAAGTTCAGCCTGTGGCTAAGTGTACATGACTCCCATTGGTTTCATGTTTATATATCCAAAAGCAGAATTTTGTCAGAGTAATTAAGAGGTCCTGCAGGTATTTAGATAATTGCAATGGGAGCTGTGGGGTAGTTTGAAACAAATGACACTGCGGTTTGCTATTTCATGATCTCCTGCTAAGGCTGTGTTTAAGGAAGGAGAACCCATTACTCCTTGAATTCCAGGAACTGTGTGCACACTGAGAGTCACCTGAGGAAGCAAGGAAAATGTATCTGCATGGTAAGGAACTTACATTTTGATATCATTGACTTTGATGTCACTGACTGAAGAGGCTGTGAATGTTTTGTTGATGGGGGCTCTAAGGACTAAGTTGGATTCTGACCAGTTAGGATTATCGCAGTGATTTAATTTTGCTGTTGGCAGTCAGGAGAGAGGTGAGAATCAACTAGAAAACGCATTTACATCCTTCTAGCAAGCCATGCCATTGTTGCCATCCATTTGCATTGTATCGTTGCAGCAGGTGGGACCAGGAGAATCAGGTGGTGAACAGAGCAAGAGCTGGAGAGACAGTAATCACATTGTGTCTGGACTGTTTTGGTTCTCAGGAGTTGTCCATCCAGTTCAGGACTGATGAGGGCAAAGCCAACAGTTAGCGCATGCCTCTCATTGCTTGGTTGTAATGAACAGGAAATGGGTCACATAGCATCATCCCACAGCCTCTTCACAGCCCACTGAGTCAATCACTATGATAAGTGCTACAGATTTTTTTTGTTTTGTTCTGTTGGGCAAGGATTTACTCAATGATAGGGAAATCTGAGTTAACTGAAGTCATTTTATGTCCCAGTTTCCTGGGTGTTGTGTGTGGGTGAATGTGGTTAATTACTGGGGTTCAGCTGACAAGTAATAACTCATTAAGCTTCAGTTACTTGGTTGCATTTGTTCACATATCTCTACTGTGTGTTTCTGCCTTGGGCAGCAGACTTGAATTACCACTGCTGACAGACAAGTCCCTTATTCAGTCATGACTTTTTCCTGCCAGTCTTGAGAAAAAAAGAGCAGCAAACCATCTGCTGCCTGCACTAATTGCTTCATGATTGCATTCATTGTTCTGGCTGAAAATACAGTTGTTCCATGGCTGATTCTTACTGCATAATTGCAGAACTACTGCATGCTTCTCCATTTTCTGTGTGAGAGGAGTTACAAATCAGGAGGAAACTTCAGACACAGTAAAGTATTGCTTGTGAGGCAAAAGCTTGTTGGAGGTCTTGTTACATGTGAGCTCTTACGGGTTTAATCACCTTGCTTGTAGAATGAGGGGCTGTATTTATGGGAGTATTGCTTATGTATTACTATGTAATCTTCAAAAGTGGTTTGCTGTGTAATCAGAGGGTGGGATGTAAGAGCCTCTACTTCATGTGGAGACATCTTCTGCTATTCAGATGGGTCAGACACACTGAGGAATGGTTAGTAATCAGCCATGAATAACAGAGCTATTTGGAGAGACGAAATACAGGTGAAATTGGGAAACACAAGTCAGATGGGTGAAATGCAGGGTTGTAATTGCCCACCTCAGGAATAAATGCACAAAAGCACTCAAGCATTGAAAGGCAGTAACAGAGGCTGAAAAGGCAGCTTTAAAATGGAGTTATTGTTGTTGCTTCTCCTCTCTCATTTTAAATGAACTCTTGAAAAGCAAGACATCCCAGACTAAAGGAATTCTGTCAACATAGCACTAGTAAATGAAGAGGTTTACATTTGCTTTTTTTTTTTCTTATTTTTTCATTTTGGTCTTTCCCAGATATCTGATTCCATCTGTCTACCTTTATTTACTGTGTGTGTCATGCTGGAGATCAATGAGTTAGCGACTGGTACTTGGCTGTGTAGCTAAAGTGCTGAAGTTTAGCAAATCAGGATTCTGTTGCTTGTGGGACAACATAGCTTCTGTCATCAAACCATGTCATCTTCCTCAGTTTCCTACAGTAAAGGAGGTCCACTTCTCATGCATTCAAGTGGAAGAGAAAGGCGTTCATATATCAAGGATGATAGAGGAATTGCTTAGAATAGAGATAAGGATGCATATGGCCACAGAATGTCTGTGTGAGAGAACAGGCCAGCTCTTAAAAGTATCTTCAGCCCCATCTATCTGTGTGTGTGGTCTAATGCTCGTGTCTGACAGTAGAGTATCTGCCATAGATATAACCAGTATTCACTCTTCAAGATGTGATGGACTATTTTGGATGCAATTCATAATTCTAAAACCTTTAATTTCTCTGCATTAGATTCTAACTTTGAGGGTGCTCCTGCTTAGAAAAGGGTCAGACCAGGGACCTCTGAAGGTTCCTTTCATCCTAAATTACTCTGTTTCTGTTTGCACCCTCTCAATGTTAGTGGTAACAGTCACTGCCTACATAGACCAGAGAAGTGGGAATAAAATTCAGATTTATTTTATCAGAAATTGCATCATAGTTTTTTTTAAAAAAATTTCCATTAACACCAAGTGACATCATTTTGGGGTGTGTTTTTTCCACGCTGCTGACAACATTTAGAGGACTATTCACTTGGGCTAATGTTAACTGAGAGAG